CTTAATGTGTTAGATTTCCCCGAAAGTATTCTTAATGAGTTAGATTTCACCGGAAGTATTCTTAATGTGTTAGATTTCTCCGAAAGTATTCTTAATGCGTTAAATTTCCCCAAAAGTATTCTTAATGCGTTAGATTTCTCCGAAAGTATTCTTAATGCGTTAGATTTCCCCGAAAGTATTCTTAATGTGTTAGACTTCCCCGAAAGTATTCTTAATGCGTTAGGTTTCCCCGAAAGTATTCTTAATGCGTTAGGTTTCCCCGAAAGTATTCTTAATGCGTTAGATTTCCCCGAAAGTATTCTTAATGGGTTTTTCTGGGACAAATTATTCTGTACAACCTTGTAGCAATTTTTAACATCTCTGTTTTCCACTTGGGCTTCTCTGGTTAAGACAATATTTGAATAATATTTAACAATATTTAATAATAATACAGATTTAATATATTAAAATTTCAGGGTTTTATTTTAATTTTTTAAAGCTGCCCATCGATGGGTTAACGGTAAGTTTACAAACCTATAATGCTAAAATCCCGGGTTTGATTCCACACGGTAAACAGATTACAGACAATCCAATTCGTAGCTTTGCGCTAAAACAACAACAGTAACTTTCTCAATAAATATTTTCTCTCATACAAGTTTCTTTTTTATTGGTATGGATATTTCTACATAATATTCGAAACTGTAAATATTGACATTTTTAAGGACATCATTTTCCAAAATTTTAATTTATTTTACCTTCTATCCAGCTGATAGGTTTCTTGATCCGACTATGTAATGTTTTTTTTACATCAATTATATACATATTCTTTAACCTTTCTATTATTCCACCCCTCCCCCATGCACTGCCCGATACACAATATTTGTCTTAGTTGACTGGTCTAGAACATTTTTTAAATTAAAGTTTGTTAACAAAGTTCTGAAAAACTCCAATTTATAATATAATATTTATGCTATAAATATTCACTATCCACTTTGGGTATTTAATTTTCCATTTAAATATGCCATTGAAGACAAGATATTGTGATACTTTGTATTATTATTAATTAACTTAAGCTGTTAATTTAATTTTGTCTGCTTTTCCCTCGTGTTAATTATTATTATAATTAAAACTTACTCATTGTTTTATATGCATTTTTAAAGGTTAAATACAAATTAATATAATGTCTTCGGAGGGGGGGATTTTATTTAGTGACTAATATATCACAGAAAATTCGAGTGTCGAATACATAGTATGTCTATAAACATGATCTGGTTGTATTCCCAAATATTTTTTACAACTATGTCTAAATTACTACAATTTAAATATACCCACAGTATGTCTATAAACATGATCTGGTTGTATTCCCAAATAATTTTTTACGACTATGTCTAAATTAGTACAATTTAAATATACCCACAGTATGTCTATAGACATGATCTGGTTGTATTCCCAAATACTTTGTACAACTATGTTTAAATTAGTACAATTTAAATATACCCACAGTATGTCTATAAACATGATTTGGTTGTATTCCCAAATACTTTGTACAACTATGTTTAAATTAGTACAATTTAAATATACCCACAGTATGTCTATAAACATGATTTGGTTGTATTCCCAAATACTTTGTACAACTATGTTTAAATTAGTACAATTTAAATATACCCACAGTATGTCTATAAACATGATATGGTTGTATTCCCAAATACGTTTTACGACTATGTCTAAAATAGTACAATTTAGATATACCTAGATTTTCCACGCCAAAATTTGTCATCTAGAAATAAAACCATCAAATTTGCAAAACATCTAGAGCGGAAGGATTGATTTTAGGAGGAAAAACTTACCCCTGAACTAAGGAAACATGATTTCGTCTGAGTCAAAATGAAAGTAATTTATGCAAAGAAGAATTAACGAAAAACTGACCCTTGATCTTAGTAGCCTATTTCCAGGATTTTAATAAATAAGATGATCCCATTTTCCAGTAAATATAACTACTGATAAAACATTAGAGTTCACTAAGGTTGGAAGACGATCAATTTTAAAATAAGTGAAGTATCTAACTAGTTTATATGATATGATTTGAAATGTAAGAAGTTAAAAAGATACGTATTCTTATTGCAAGAGTGAAGCATCTAAGTCTAACTCCAGTTTATATGATATGTTTATAAATTTTGAAATGTAAGAAGTTATAAAAGATACGTATTCTTATTGCAAGAGTGAAGCATCTAAGTCTAACTCTAGTTTATATGATATGTTTATAAATTTTGAAATGTAAGAAGTTATAAAGATACGTATTCTTATTGCAAGAGTGAAGCATCTAAGTCTAACTCTAGTTTATATGATATGTTTATAAATTTTGAAATGTAAGAAGCTAAAAAATACGTATTCTTATTGCAAGAGTGAAGCATCTAAGTCTAACTCTAGTTTATATGATATGTAGCGGGATCGAAACACAGCGACGAACTTCCTCACCATTTCAGAAGTGGGAGCGTTATAATCATACGGTGAATCTCATTATTCGTTGGCATAGAGTAGCCCAAGGTTTGGTGGTATGTGCTGCCGGCTGGCTGCTTTCCATGTGGTCGAGAATTCAAAAATTAGAGACGACGGAAGATAGCCTTAGTAGTTTTGCCATAAATAAACAAACAAACAAATTCATTTGTTTTATCCATTAAGTCAATAATGATAAATAAACGAAACAAATTCATTTGTTTTATCCATAGAGTCAATAATGATAAATAAACAAACAAATTCATTTGTTTTATCCATAGAGTCAATAATGATAAATAAACAAACAAATTCATTTGTTTTATCCATAGAGTCAATAATGAAATACAGTTTTCTTTACATTTTATATAGTCCTGTGATAGGTTTTGAAAATTATCTGGTTTACAAGCATTAAATGTTGTTTTAGCCAAAAGTTACACAATAGGCTATCTGCACTCTGTCCATCGTAGGGAATCGAACCCTAAATTTTTAGCATTGTAAGTCTGCAAAATTGTCGTTCACTCACCCCGGGGGAAAAGAATTAACTTTACCTCCCATTTACAAAACTCGTACTGTTAATCATTGTTTAGTTATGCAGTTATTTTTTTTTGAAACGTTCATTTTCCGTTTCGTAGTATTCTTATGGTGACATTTTTATCATTAAAGGACTAATAAATATTATATTAAAACTGCCTAAACGAAATACATTTGTACTCTCAACTAAACTGTTTTAACCTAAATCACTGATTGCTAATTCTTCAAATATCTGTCATAATTTATAATTCTGAAATTTTAAAATAAATTTATTGTATGTTTACATTAGCTTATCCAGGGTTGTAGCTTCGGTGGGCGGGGCCGCTCAGCACTCCCGTGCAAGGTGACTAATACCGCCCAGCACTTGTTTTTCACTGAGAAAATGTTCACCATAAACACGAAAAATTTCTTTGTCGCGGTACAGCTCACTTCGCAATTACCTTGTTAGAGACAAACACTTTTACAGAAAAGTCACGAAGCAAATAACCTTCGCGCTAAAATACTTTTTTAAGAAAAGTCCATGGGAAAAATCCTTCACGCGAAGCTAAAGAAACGGCCCATGCCACACTAATTCACTTGTACTTAGCGTGGCACATCAAATAATATCATCCTCAGTAGATACCATGCAAAGCCTATTTTCTTTCCAGTAAAAGTTTATGTTGTGTGTAAAAGTATTTTTAAAATTTTATGGATATCTAAAATATTAAAGTATATAATATATATATATATTGCATAAAACTTTTTTTTAATCCGATTGTGACTAATTTGTATCAATTGCCAGCTGTTAAATATAGACCCATCAGAAAAATTTGACTCCCCCTATATATTTTTAGACTCGTCGTTCACCTTATAACACGTGTTTGCCTAGTAACTGCTAGTGTGGAGCATTTTAACTGACTTTCCGAAGGAATTTACAAGTTTTCAAAGTTATTAAAATTATAAACATGAAAATAATAACATTTTCTCTTTTTTTGCCTGGTTGAGGGGGGGGGACGATGGCGGTAAATGCAGGCACATGCATCTGTGGTGTAGTCTGGTTTTTACCGCCCACCACTCAAATCATCCTAACTACAACCCTGAATTTATCGTAAGATACTCATAAAATACATGTTACTAATTAAGCAGAAAATACCTGATCAAATATGCACTCGGTGTCTAGTGCATTTCGTGTGAACAAACAAATTATTTAAGAGAATTATAAGTTAGAGCAAATTTGTCTATGTTTTTTCAACTTCCCAAAAATTAGCGCAGTAACCTTGTGTCACTTCTAAACATACTTGTAATAATTATAGCCCTAAAATCTATAATGTATGCAAAAAATGCCATATTAAACTGTGACAAAAACTATAAAAATTTCCCTTTTAGTTCAAATAAAAAAAAAGGGCTACACGTTTTAAGTATCAGCAGTAAACTGTAAAAGTTTTTGATGATGATAGAAAATACATAAATAATTTTTTTATTTGAATAATCTTTCATAAATATTATAACTTAATATCAAAGATCGTTAGTATAATTTCAAACCACATCTTCAGTAACTTTGACCAATCTAGTAATTCAAAAAAAAAAAGAATAAATTCAACCAATACAAATCTGTAAGCATTTCACATGCAGCAATATTGTTTGTAATAAAGTTATTCTATTTTTGTTTTCTGTTAAGTCAAGCATTGATAACTTTCGAAATTATTACTTAATTAAGAATATTCTTCACTTCATTTGTCATTTAGATTAATCAAAACAAAAAGGAAAGTTTTTTGGCAAACTATAAAATTTCTAAGAACTTAACTCGTCAAATAAATGTTGAAAAATGGAATGAGGTTACAAGAAATACACCTAGCACTTAAGTAATCTAAATACTGTAACACAATTATTATTGGAGATAAATAATCTTGATTAATTCAGAAATAATAAGATATAAAATATGAAGATTCTAGTTAGAGTTAGAGTTTGAAATAGTTCATCAAACTCAATATCTAATGTCAAAACTTCCTTCTTTCAAGAATTATTTTCGTGATGGCTGGAACACCTTTGATTTTATTACTGTTGTTGGAAGCGTAGTGGATGCACTAGTGATGGAAATAGGGGTAAGTTCTGTTAGAAAATAGTGATGGAAATAAGGGTAAGTTCTGTTAGAAAATAGTGATGGAAATAGGGGTAAGTTCTGTTAGAAAATAGTGATGGAAATAGGGGTAAGTTCTGTTACAAAATGGTGATGGAAATAGGGGTAAGTTCTGTTAAAAAATAGTGATGGAAATAGGGGTAAGTTCTGTTAGAAAATGGTGATGGAAATAGGGGTAAGTTCTGTTAAAAAATAGTGATGGAAATAGGGGTAATTTCTGTTAGAAAATGGTGATGGAAATAGGGGTAAGTTCTGTTAAAAAATAGTGATGGAAATAGGGGTAAGTTCTGTTAGAAAACATAAAAAACTATTTTTACACACATTACCTGGTGCATTTTATTTTAGCTACAATAATATTATTGAAGTGTCTCAGCATTTATCGGTGTAATAATGAATCACATTTTAATCGCCTTCCACTTTCTTTCATCGTGATTTTAAATCCTGATTTAGGCATTCGCGATTAAGGATTAGGGTTAGAGCTGTAAGACAGTTTTTTTGTTGGATTTTTTTCTTTATTTTACCCCGGAGAGAAAGTACTTGTTTTTAATGAAACAGAACAAAAAACCAGTAATATTCAGGCTATAAGGCTATTAAAATCAGACAAATGTTTGTCTATACTAACCGAAGATACAGTGTTACATGATTTACATAATGTTATGAATAAATGTTTGTTTATAATAACCAAAGAATCAATGTTACGTTATGACATGATTTATCTTGTGGATAAATTTTTGTCTATACTGACCAAATAATCAATGTTACGTTATGACATGATTTATCTTGTGGATAAATGTTTGTCTATACTGACCAAAGAATAAATGTTACGTTATAACATGATTTATCTTGTGGATAAATGTTTGTCTATACTGACCAATGAATCAATGTTACGTTATGACATGATTTATCTTGTGGATAAATGTTTGTCTATACGTTATGACATGATTTATCTTGTGGATAAATGTTTGTCTATACTGACCAAAGAATAAATGTTACGTTATAACATGATTTATCTTGTGGATAAATGTTTGTCTATACTGAACAAAGAATCAATGTTACGTTATGACATGATTTATCTTGTGGATAAATGTCATAACGTAACATTTATTCTTTGGTCAGTATAGACAAACATGATTTATCTTGGGGATAAATGTTTGTCTATACTGACCAAAGAATCAATGTTACGTTATGACATGATTTATCTTGTGGATAAATGTTTGTCTATACTGACCAAAGAATCAATGTTACGTTATGACATGACGTACATAATTTTATGTACAAATGTTTGTCTATACTAACTAAAGATCCAATGTAATGCTATGTATGACATGATTTACATGCCAAGAAGATAACTTCTGCGATACAGCACTTACAACTTTATTATTGAATTATTTCGACATCAATTTTGATATTTAAAAAAAAATAGAAGATATATTAAAATTCGCGGAACTTGCATAACCGTTTGCTCAGCACGAGGACCCCATTAGCTCAGTTTCACAACAGATTCTAAGCTAGATGTCGCCACTTCATGCGTAAACCGGTGTGGCTTAGTGGTTATCGTGGCAAACTGTGAATTCGAGGGTCTGTGGTTTTCATGTCAATTCCGCAAAATCGCGCTCCGTCGTTTCGGCCGTGGTTGAGTTATAAGAGTGACGGTCAATTCCCACTAATCGATCAGAGTATCCCAAGAGATAGCGATGTGTGCTGTTTACTAACTTTCTTCCCTCTAATCGATCAGAGTATCCCAAGAGATAGCGATGTGTGCTGTTTACTAACTTTCTTCCCTCTAATCGATCAGAGTATCCCAAGAGATAGCGATGTGTGCTGTTGACTAACTTTCTTCCCACTAATCGATCAGAGTATCCCAAGAGATAGCGATGTGTGCTGTTGACTAACTTTCTTCCCACTAATCGATCAGAGTATCCCAAGAGATAGCGATGTGTGTGCTGTTGACTAACTTTCTTCCCACTAATCGATCAGAGTATCCCAAGAGATAGCGATGTGTGCTGTTGACTAACTTTCTTCCCACTAATCGATCAGTTTAAAATTAGGGATAGCTGGCACATATAGTTCTTGTGTAGCTTTGTGCGAAAATCCGAAGCAAAGAAACAATCCTAACGTCCTGTCCTAGTTCCTGTTGTTAAAAAAGAAAAAAATGCTGAGTTATTACGTTTTATATACAGAGCTTGTGGTTTATTAAACCTTTTTTAATACGTTCCTTAGGAGCCAAGGGGTGTCTTTACACTACAATTTGTTAAATATTAAAAGTAAGTTCAATCCGGTTGTTTTGGACGTATAATTTCGAGATAACTTCGAGGCAAGATTTCGTATGTTAACTGATAAATTTTTAAGTGAAATACAACATCCTCAAGTCTCCATACTAGCTAGTACTAAGGTCTACCGCTGGGAGTAAATTCAGTATATATCAATAAAGCCACATTCTCAGCATCATTAATTCAGAAATTGCCGACCTTTTGTGCTTCTGCTATCACTTTTTTATGTTTAGCTTTCAAGTGAGATACGAACGATTTCACCTGCGATTCGGGAGGGAATGTCGAAGCATCGCGATAGTCAGCAGTAGGATGAGCAGACAGGAACACTTTGAAAGCAGCTACAGGCATAATATTGTGTTCGGCTTGTTGCACAATATTTACCAAGGTGGTTTCTAAGTGGTTCCTGAATACCTCTGAGTGTCATTTGTGCTTCTTGTGCTTGGCCGTTAAGCTCGTGATGCCCTGACGGATTTCAGTCACCTTATCACTTCAAATCACTTTTCGCAGCCCCAACGCTAAAAGAGTGCGGGCAATGCCATCTTTTTAGCCAATAAAAATGTCCAAAAATCTGAGTTCAAATTAAGAAAAACCGGATTGGAGAGTTTGTTTTTTTTTCAACAAAAATGTCTCCTACTGGCTCGTGAAGGGCCTGTTAAAAGTAGTTTTATGTAGCTGAAGTAAAACTGTAAAATGTTCATGTTTTGCCGTGTCTACAATAATGACAATTCGATCTTGTTTTAGCGTTAATATATTAACTTCTAAAATGGAAAAAAAAACTAAACATATCGTTTTTAACACATCATAGTTTTCGAGACTGAAAGTGAAAAATAAATATTACTTTTAATCATTGACTACAATTGTGCGTTTTCCAAACTTTGATTATTTTACAGTAGGTTTCACGACTATATGCAAGCACCGTGATACGCCGATAATCTTAAATACTTTTAAATTCGGCCCTTTTATTCAGTAAAAACTTGGCCTGTGAAAAAAAGTGCTAAAATGACGTAAATCGAAAAATGCATAAGTTTATCTTCAACCACAAGGATATTCTGAATTTGCTTTGAAATTTCAAAAACTAAAATAAATATTAGAAGTTATTTTTTTCTAAATTTTGTAAAATTCGTGACAATCACTAAAGATTTGCGTTTCTGTTTTGTAGGTCAACTTTTTCAACGTGGGATTCTTAAGATTATTTCGAGCTGCTCGTTTGATCAAGCTTCTCCGACAAGGTTACACCATTCGTATTTTATTGTGGACCTTTATTCAGTCCTTTAAAGTAAGTCTTTGTTTTCAAGGTAGTTTTAGTTTATTTTGTATTTGATGACGTCATACATATATATATATATATATGTTCTGCTACCAGTTGACCTTTATTTAAATACAAATTTCTGTTTTTCTTCTTATTTCTCAGGTTCTGACCTGGAGTCTAAGCAATAATATTTTAAACAAACTAGGTTAAAATAGAATATTTGTAAAGAAAAAGAGAGAAGAGACTTTATTAAGTGATAACATTAAATGGAATGTCATGTCAGAATTAATTTAAATCAATTTTCGTTTGGCATTTGGATAAACATGTGTAGGATGATTTATTAATTTTTTTAAGAGCCAGTATTATAAACTCCAAAAATATTGAAATATTTTCTCAATATTGTAGCTTCTTAAACGTGCCCCCCAGTGTCACAGCGGTATGTCTGCGGATTTACAACGTTAGAAGCTGGGTTTCGATACCCGTGGTGGGCAGAGCACAGATAGCCCATTGTGTAGCTTAATTACAAGCAAACAAACAATTCTTAAACGTTGATCGGTCTTGTGTATTTTTCACAATGTTAAACAACCATTTGAATCTGCTATTTCAACAGAGACCACTAACTAAGGTTTCAACAGCTTTAGCGTTTTTTTTATCAATCTTGACATAAAATAATTATAATCTCTAGCACATGTTAACAAACTAACTAAGGTTTCAACAGGTTTGGCGTTTTTTATCAATCTTGACATAAAATAATTATAATCTCGAACACATGTTAACAAACTAACTACTTGTTCTTGTCACATTTCTAGGCCTTACCTTACGTGTGTCTGCTCATTGCTATGCTTTTCTTCATCTACGCCATCATAGGAATGCAGGTCAGTTCTAGAATAGAATCAAAAGTCGAACGTATTGGTTGTATTCTTTATCTTTATATTTTTGAACAAGTTAAATAAATCGGTAATATATGTAACCGTTTCAGATTTTCTTTTATAAAGAATAACTTATTCCGTTATATAAAAAAAGCACTTTTTACCATTTACTTAGCTGTTTAAATATTTGCTATTCATATGTTTCTTATGTTTTGTGTTTTTTATTTACCAAAAAATATAGAATGAAATATTTTGTTATGGAATAAAAATTTCCACAGTCCCGCCTTAAAGCTCCCATGGTCACTGATTTAGTCTACGAATCTATTGCTATTTCAAGAGCTATCATTAAAAAGCTTCCATTGTTAAAGAAAGATGGCTGAACTCGGCGAGATATATAGATCAAAATAAAACTTTATTTAAATGGTTGTATTGTTGTGTCAGTATACAATAAGACGGTCATTCGATATTATTCTTGGATAATGGCAGTGACTCTTTCTTTATTGGTGGTTGTTGTTTTTCACGTATCAATTGTTGTGTATTTTTAACTAAACTCTAAATTCAGGAATTAAACAAAAATATTTGTTTTACTTTAATACATTTGTTTAAAAGGAATTATTCTGTGTATTTGAGATCACGTACAAAAGTGTGGTTAATGTCTATATAAAAAGTAAAAGACTACCCCCGTAGAGAAGTGGTAAAACAATGACATATTGTTAGACCATCGTCTTACCTTGTCGTTGAATCTATTCGAAAAGTTATTTGTAACCAATTTGAGTTTACATAAATTATTATGTACGCTTACTGTCTTATGATCATACATTTGAGTTTACATAAATTATTATGTACGCTTACTGTCTTATGATCATACATTTGAGTTTACATAAATTATTATGTACGCTTACTGTCTTATGATCATACATTTGAGTTTACATAAATTATTATGTACGCTTACTGTCTTATGATCATACATTTGAGTTTACGTAAATTATTATGTACGCTTACTGTCTTATGATCATACATTTGAGTTTACGTAAATTATTATGTACGCTTACTGTCTTATGATCATACATTTGAGTTTACATAAATTATTATGTACGCTTACTGTCTTATGATCATACATGAAATAAAAAGTATGATTATTATTTATTAATAATAATAATACAAATAAACAAATAATACAAATGGATCAAAATTTTAAAGAACAAATAGTACAAATGGATCAAAATTTTAAAGAACGAATAGTACAAATGGATCAAAATTTTAAAGAACAAATAGTACAAATGGATCAAAATTTTAAAGAACGAATAGTACAAATGGATCAAAATTTTAAAGAACGAATAGTACAAATGGATCAAAATTTTAAAGAACAAATAGTACAAATGGATCAAAATTTTAAAGAACGAATAGTAAGGCAACGGTTTAAAAGAGTTGAATGTTTCCCAAAGTGTAGTCTATATCTTTAATAGCATGAAGAATATGTAAATGTTTATACTTATGAACCACAAAATAGCTGAAAGCGAATTGTTTCATGTATTTAATACCCTGAAAAAACAAATAATAATTAAATTTTACAACAAGTGACAACGTGAATTCTCGTATATCAGCCCCAGCTGTATGTCTGCGGACTTACAACACTAGAAACCAAGTTTCGATACCCGTGGTGGGCAGAGCACATATATAGCTAATTGTGTAGCTTTGTACTTTAATTACAAATAAACAAATCGTATTTCAGCTTTTTTGTATATATATCATACATTATATTGTTTTTTCTTGTAGTTTTCTATTGACTATTTTAACTGAATTTATAAAATTCATTATTAACATAAAGTTGTATATTTTATTTCATCTCTATCCCTTTCACCACGTGTTTCAACTCTAAAAATTGTGTTTTCATAACTTATGTGTTAGATGCTTGTAATACTAATGTTTTTCCATCACACTCAACTAACAGTTTGTATGAGTACTATGGCGTTTGATTTTTAAGTAATTCCACAAGCAGTAGTGGCAGAAGGAGGTTTCACAAAATTAGAAGAAAAAAACAACCCAAATTTGTAATACTATAAATCAATCCATTTACAATAAATTAGGACAATAATAAAGTAGAAGAAGAGAAAAAAAAACGACTCCTTTTCCAATAGTTAAGGAATGCATTAGGCATTAGTCGCCCGCATATTCTTCTTTTCTTTCTTGCACTTGTGCTTTCCTGTCTCCTTGAAAGATATTTCTCCACCTTTCTTCTGTTTCCCATCTATTCTTGGCTCGAATTTCACCAACATCAGGTCTTTGGGAACATCCAGTGTCAGCCAGATACAGATATAAATCGGCACAACAACTTCCAAACCTTCATACTCTCGTTGATGCTCTTGTTTAGGTGAGTTTAACAGTAGGGGGCGTTGATAGACGGTTGGACAACAAAATCGTCGTTGTGTTTTCTGCTATACACGAGTGTTTGAATATTACAAAATCGCCCCCCCCCTTTTTTTGATATTAAAAACTCTTATTAAGGTTCTAAAGCTTGTTCAATATCTCAATAGGACAGCTGGTCCTCGTGTGATGGATTTATTTAAATTATCAACGATGATGTCAGCCATTAAAATGCAACGACGAGAATTGTATACCTTCCCAATAACAATGTATGTCGTAGTGAAATGGACTTTTTTGACAAACCCTAAAAAGTTTCTCTAAATTTTAGTTAGCCATTTCTCTTTTCTTTTGCCTGTCTGTCTGTCTCCTCTATTTTTGTGATTATTTCTCAGTTTTATTCCTCACACCTTTCTGCTTGCCCATTATTCATCACTAGTAACGTTACTAGGTTAGTGAACGTAGATAGATGTAATTGTACGTGTTAGTCCTTACATATGTATATTTATTAGTCTATTATATTTTTACTAGGACTAAAGAGATTTTTTTTTTATGTAGATGTACTAACTTTTCAACGTCCTTCCTTCCCCACAATTAGGTTTTTGGTAATATCGCCCTCAATCCTGAATCCTCTATAATGCGTCATAATAACTTCCGCAACTTCTTCCAAGGACTTATGCTTCTCTTCAGGCAAGTTCGTTCTTCATATGATCTGCCCAACCTGCACCTCGATCGGGTTTCATGTTGAAATTTGACAAACTTCTGCTTCGTGTTCCATCCAATTCCACGTCAATGTTTCTATTTTACTAAAGCTTTTATTCGGTCCTTTGGATTCGTTCAGAATCCCGCGATGTTCTCTGAATATTTATATAAAAGTCGTCTTCTGATATCCATTTGCAACTCGAAAACATTTCATGTTGCTTAAGACACGCTAATCGTATTGTGTAAGACATGCTAATATGTAACACCGACAGGAATTTTGTTCACCTGTGTATTAATTAGCTTCTGTGATTTTTTTTTCAATCCAATCGAATTTAGAACACAAAATAGTTTTTTCTGAAACTGAAAATACCTTTGCATTTTCATTGTGGAATTTTAGGAAAGCTCACTTTATATCTTCTTATCTATATGATATGTTAATTGTATAATATGTAACTGTTTATATACTTTGAATTCCACAAAAAATAGTGTTCCTAAATATAGTCACGCGAGTACAGGAGTATATATTTATATGCAGAATTAGAAAAAAAATTTTCTTTATGTTTATTGATGTGTTTGAACCGTCTCCTGGTGGGTCAGCGGTACATTTACGGACTTACAATGATTAAACCCGGAGTTCGATTCCACTCGGTGGACGTAGCAGATAGCCAAAAGTGGCTTTGCGCTAAAACAAACAATTATTTGAGCCGGGCGTGGCCTGGTGCTAACGTATCGCACTGTGGATTCCAGGGTCCATGGCTCGCATCCCGTTACAGAAAATATGAAAAATCTCGCTTCACACTTTGGGGCCGTGTGTGCGTTATAAGACTCACTGTCAAATTCTATTCGATTAGAGTAGCCCAAGAGTTGGCGGTAGGTGCAGTTAACTTGCGGTCTTCCCTCTACTCTATTAGTTCAAAAATTAGGGACGACTAGCGCAGATAGACCTTTTTGAGCTTTGCACAAATATCCGAAACAAACAAACTGATGTGGTCGGATGGAATTTAAATTTTTTTGCAGAATTAAGTTCATTAATTTCAAGAAGTTTTATGATTAAAAAAAAACTGAATAGTATGATTAGTAAGTATAAATATTTTTACTTAAAAAATTTTGCATGTTTTTTTTTCTTATCTTGTCAGTCGTAAAGATTGAATAACCAATAATGTTGATAATTATATTGTTTGGAGCACTTTAAAATAGAATGACAAAGTAATGGTTTGGTGATTGAGCATCACAACAATGTATGGTATTGTTATCTAATTTCCAAAAATAACATAAATAACTAAAAATGCAATTTCTGTTAAAGTCCATTGTTTTGTTAACTCAATAATATTGTTAAAAACATATTCGAGTGATTTATTTGAAATGCTTTGCTCAAACTCCAGGTAACTCGTTTTTATTACTTTTTTACTTCGATTTTTTAAAACGTATTAAACCTAAAAAAACAATTATCAGTCGAGTTCTTTATCATTAACTTGGTTACGTTTAATTATTCAGGGGTTATAGTATACTACTATTTGTTTCCATTAATATCTGTAAACCCAGAAACTATACTTGTATCAATCAAGTCCAGAAGTATGTGTATAAAAACAGAAACTAAATATTGTTAAGAACATTAACGTTGAGAGATTTATCTCGACTCGAAACATTTAATTCTGAGTTAGTAAGGGAAGCCGACAACATGAACATAAAACATAAGTGGACGAGAAATAAGGATCCAACTTCATAGTTCTAAAATCTCATAGTGAGCCATATTAATGACGATATTATTTGAGCTGTTTGATCCACTGGTTGTTTCTCTTATAATTGTGCTCTATGAAGCTTTCTTCAGGTGTTCACTATTTTGATTCTAGAACGTAACCTGGTTTACCTGAAAGCCTGAAAGGTTTTAGTTCTAGGGTATAAGCTAAATCGCGTGGATCGTTTTGGTTCCAGAGTATAATCTGTATTACATGTGTCGTTTTGGCTCCAGAGTCTCACTGGATCGTTTTCGTTTCGTATCACATTGAATGTTTTGTTGGCCAGGTGGTTAGGGCACTCGACTCGCAATCTGAGAGTCGCGGGTTCGAATCCCCGTCCCACCAAACATGCTCGCCCTTTCAGCCGTGTGGGCGTTATAATGTGACGGTCAATCCCACTATTCGTTGGTAAAAGCGTAGCCCAAGAGTTGGCGGTGAGTGATGATGACTAGCTGCCTTCCATCTAGTCTTATACTGCTAAATTAGGGACGGCTAGCGCAGATAGCCCTCGTGTAGCTTTGCGCGAAATTCAAAACAAACAAACAAGACTGTTTTGTTTGGATATCACAGGGATCGTTTTGGTTCTGTATCAGTGGGTCATTTTTGCATCCAGAATACAAGCTTATTAAATGTATTAAAATAATTAGAGTCTGTGTGTGTTTTTTAGACCTAGCCGTCGCGATCTGTCCCTTGAAAAGAAAGGAGATTTTGAATTAATTGAAATAACACCTTAGAAGTAATTCGTTGAAACCTGCTGCACTATACAGAGGACATTCCACTGAATATGTAGGAGATTCATAGATTAGCATTATTTATGTTTATTACATTAAAATAACATTCATGACTGTCTTGTTGTCACAAGGCTTTAGTTTATGCGGCTCTCGTGGGGTGACTCTTAAAATCCTTCAATCCCAAACTGCTGGCCAGGTGGTTAGAGCGCTCGACTCGCAATGTGCGGGCCGTGGGTTCGAATCCCCGTCACACCAAACATGCTCGCCCTTTCAGCCGTGGGGGCGTTATAATGTGACGGTCAATCCCACTATGCGTTGGTAAAAGAGTAGCCCAACAGTTGGCGGTGGGTGATGATGACTAGCTGCCTTCCCTCTAGTCTTACACTGCTAAATTAGGGAGGGTTAGCGCAGATAGTCCCCGTGTAGCTTCGCGCGAAATTCATAACAAACCAAACCTAAACTGCTTTGTCACTATAACTGAATAATAACTCAACCTTTTTTTTTTTAAATAAAGATGTAACATTTGTATGTTTGATTCTTTTCAAGTCTAGGTATAAACTAATAGTTAGGCTGATTGTATCGACAAGGGTATCTTTTTTTTAACTTGAAGTAGCTAATAATTATTGGTTCTAATAGTTCTGGACTGGGCGTGGCCTACTGGTTACTGTGATCAGACTGTGAATCTGAATGTTCATAGTTCGCGTTCCATTGCAATAAAAATGCACTTCGCTCTCTGAAGCCGTGGACGCTATAAAAGTGACGGTCAAATTCCATTACTTGCTCAAGAGTTGGCAGTGGGTGTTATTGATTATAAAGCAGTCTTCCCTATTGTCTATGAGCTCATAATTAGGAACGGTCATGCGCAGATTCTTCTTGTGTGTCTTCCAGAAAAATTCTGCTTCTGATACTTGGTTTGAAAAAAAAAGAAATCCGTCTATTTTACTTTTTTTTGTAATTATTGAAAATAACAGTTTCGCTACGTTATCCAGTGCTTTAGGAGCCGAGCTTGGCCTAGTGGTTTGCATTTCGGACTGTGGGCCCAAGGTTCGAAACCCGTTACTGCAAAAGAAAACATCGCGCTCCTCACTTTGGGGCCGTGGATACTGTTAGAGTAGACCATGAGTTGGCGGTGGGTGTTGTTGAATAGATGCTTTCCCCGTAACCCCTCGTTTCCAAATTATGGACGGCTAGTGAAGGTAGCCCTCGAGTACAGCTTTGTGCGAAAGTCGAGAAACAACATCAACATGCAGTGTTTTATTGAGAATTACTATAGTATTGTTTCAGTTTAGCATTTCAATGAGTGTGTGGGGGGAGGTTTGTCTTTATGGTAGTTAAAATTACAGAAGAACCGTATAGTATATTACTTATTAATTGTAACCCTACCCCACGTATTATTTACATTGTATGATAATATCTTCTCATACAGTATTAAGAAGTTACTGTCATACCCATAATTCTGGACTTCAGAGATGTATAATGTATATATTTATTGTACCTTGTTTACACGTGCATATATAATGTTTGTCTGTTTTTATCATTCTTAAAATATTATATTTCATTAGCATTGGTGTTTAAAATAAATATAATTAACTTTATAATCAACAATACAATTTATATAGTGA